CCAGCGGGGACAACTAGCAACGATACTGAAGCTTGGCCCAGTGGGAGATTCTTCCATCAACAGAGTTTAGCACAGATGGAGGAATGTGTTGCACTTTTTCTATCTGGCCAAAGGCTGATAGAAAACATCTATAGAAAATCTATAGGTGTATGGCCAGCTTTAGGCAACACATCTGTGCTTCAGAGTGCCACAACAAACGATCAAGCGCTGCGCTCCGGAGAAAGGGTAAGGTGTGGTTTTTGCAGCACTGGAGTGCACTGTCAGCCCATTAAAATTGAAGCAACACCTGTTAGCAAGCGACCAGTCCTTTTATAGTTTTGTATCAAAAAAATACTAACATACATTTTCAGGGAAGAAAAATCACTTGTATCTGATCTGCAGTAGATAAAAAATGTTTGCATAGAAACATTCCACGCAAAGTTTCTTTCCAACCAATCTAACATACCTCATGGGTTATTTTTCCTTCAGCGCACTACTTGTAAAAAGGGATTTGCATATGTTTTACCTATGTCCTCTTTTTACAAGTGTTATTTTTAGTCCTGTTGATTTTCTTGTTTCCAGGAAATGGGTCTGGTAAATACCACCAGTCAAAACTAGAGTGGATGCTGGCCATATATGCCCAATTTGCTTTACTCTTGAAGATGTAGAATAGTAGCTGTGAACTTGATCCCCCTCTAGTGCCAGCGGACGATCCTCTCGCATTCAAGGCGAAGATGCCAAACTACACCTCCTTCCCCCACACCGATATACACGGAGTGGCCAGATTATTATGACCACCTGACGTTTGTAGGCAAATTAGCTATAATTTCGCGCTGAAGTTGCGAGAGGGCCAGACCATTATAAATAGGGAAGCAGGTTGTTCACCGCGACAGTAGGTGATTTTTTTCTGAAGATACGGGTAAACAACACGATTTAACAGCCTTTGAACGTGGGATGATTGTTGGCGCTCGGAGCCATGGAGTGAGTATCAGCAAAACAGCAGAATTTGTTAAATGTTCAAGAGCAGCTGTTGTTAAAGTTTTTAAAGACTGGACTGTCAGCCGAAAATCTGGGTATGAATGTGCGAATTGTGGCCGTCAGCGACTAGTCAATGTTAGGGTAGAACGGAGAGTGGAAAGACCGGTACAAGACAACAGAAGGGCAACAAAGCAACAAACTACTGCAGATCTTAAATCAGGGATCCTCTCAAATGATCTCTGAATGCACTGTTCGCCGTACACTGCATGGTATGAGATATGGAAGCCGAAGGCCGAACACCTTTGCTGTCTGCAGTTAACAAGATAAAACGTCTCCAATTCGCACACGAACACAAGGATTGGACAGTCGAGCATTGGAAAAAAAGTCATGTGGTCCAATGTGAATCACGTTTTCAGTTGCATCATGCAGATGGCAGAGTGAGAATTTGGCGGGAACAGCATGAAAGCATGCACCCCACATGCATGAGTACAACCCTTCAAGCTGGTGGGGGCAGTGTTCTGGTTTGGGGCATGTTTTCCTGGCATGATTTGGGCCCTTTAATTTGCGTGGGACAACGTCTGAAAAGCACAACATACCAAAGTATCATTGCTGATCAAGTTCATTCTATCATGTTGATGGCGTGTCCCAATTGAGATGGCTTCTTCCAACAAGACAATGCGCCATGCCACGGTGCTCGTATTGTGCAGGAGTGGTTTCAAGAACATGAGGGAGAATTTACCTTTCTTAGGTGGCCCCCACAATCGCCAGATCTCAATCCAATTGAACATTTGTGGGATGAAGTTGAAAGAGCCATCAGGCAGCTGGTTCCACAACCATCAAATCTCACAGAACTGGAGAGTGCTATTCATTAGGCATGGTGTCAGATTCCTCGCATCACCTTTCAACATCTCGTGGAGTCAATGCCAAGAAGAATCGCTGCAGTACTGAAGACAAAATGTGGCCCAACGTAGTACTGATGGGGTGGTCATAATAATCTGGCCAGTCAGTGTATGACAAGTGGAGCTTGCAAATTTGACAGTCAGGGACTTGCTGTCATAGGGCAAAGAAATGTCAGCCGATATCCACCGACCCAAAGACTCCTTTCATCCAGTCCAAGGACAGACGAGTGCAATGGAGGTAGTATTTCAAAGCAGACCAACAGTGTGACCAGGGATGCGTAAATCCCATCACCCGGGGCATGAAGTTCAATGCGCTGGGCAGTTGATTTTTTTTCTACATTTAGCACTGCTGTAGGCTGAAGTAGAGCAGGGGAGCAGCCACTCATTTTGTACAAGTGATCTGGGAGGCTGTAGAGCTTGTAGCCACCTTCATTGGAAGGCTGGAAAGACATAGTCTCCATGAAGAGAACCTATAACCTCTAGACGCTGTCACAAAAAAGGATTAAAAGAAAAATTCAAACCAACCCAGCTGCCCCTGTCTTCTGCCAGCGAATAAATGCACGATTAGGGCATTGTGTGTATGTTCACCCCCATTCCACTGTGTGCCATATTGTGGTAGCAGGGCAGCAGCTCCTTTGCCGGTACAGGTGTTCCAACTGTACCCCATACTGCCGTCCAGCGCAGCCCTTGCCTATGGTTTTTCAATTCCGCTCGCTAATTCCAGCACTCATTGGTCAGCGCAGTCACCTGACCGGGCTGACCAATGAGAAGCACTTCTTAGCATGGTTAAAATTATTTTTTCTTTCACTACACGTAGATTGTTATGAGGAACAAGTAGACTGCACCCCCGCTTTAGTCCTTTGACAAGCAGTTTTTTTTTTTGTAATTTCCACACCCTGTGATTTAGTCAGAGTCGTCACATTAAAGGAAGACACAGGACTCTAATGCTATTATTGTAAACAAAAAAATGATTTTTTCATCTGAGAACTAAAGTAGTTTATAACTCATCAAAAGTGCAAATCATATTCTGTAATTTGTACCGTTTATAAAAGGCAATAGGATTATGTTTCTGGTACAAATCATCTTTCAAACGTGTTGCTACAAAAACAAAGCACACTGATAAAAAGTTGATTAAAAAAAGCTAAGGAAAGAAAGGGATACAAGAGGTAATAGAAATATTGGTGCCAAAGGGTTAATAAGGGGCTTCTTTTTATTTTATTCAGAACTGTAATGTACAGCTCACTCCTGCAGTTTACACTGGTGGCTCTCCAGGTATGAGTAGCAATGTTCCTCTGTCACTTTGACAGCTAGTCTGCTCCCTCTGTTTATCAGGTGCGCAGAGTCAACACAGGCAGTCCTCACAGTGACAGCACAGCTCCGCTGATTATACCGGGAGAGACGCACTCCAGCAGTATAATGTGCAGGACAGAGCTGTCCATTTCACAGCTTAGTCCTGCACAGTCCAGTATACGGCCATAGCAATATGGAGGCAGGACTTGCCATGCAGCTTTTCTTTGAGTCAGAATTAAGAACTTCTACTCCAGAGTTCTTCATAGAAATTATTGGACAGTGGATAATGCAGTCGCATTCCTGACCAGGCAATTTTGACAAGCCAGCATGCTGTCAGGTGAGCAGTATACTGCTGGCTCTGGGATAGGTGAATACAATACTTGCAAGTGGCACTGGGGAAAGGGAACTACAATATTGGTGTAACTGCACCAAAAGGATAGGCAACTATTAGATTTTCTGTATCACAAGTTGAAAATCATATTTAAAGCCCCCAGAGGACCTAGTGCATGGAGCAGTTGGTCCTTTTCCAATCCAACAATGCTGTTAGCAAGGAGATGGATAGTAAGTCTAACAGCACTAATCTCTGGCATCAGGGGTGATCTGGAGACAAGCACTGTTGTTCACCATGGCAAGGGCTTCTGTGCACATATCTTGTGTGTGCACCTCCTCCAGTGGGACATGTAGTTCCTGACAGTGCTACTCATTCACTTGTGGCCACTGGAGTGGAGCAGTGTACGAGCTGGAGACGTGACCACCGGCCAGGGGAAGGAGTGGGGGAGAGAGGACAGGGAATGGAAAACGGCAGGACCACCGGCCAGAAGACAGAGTGTGGGGACAGGAGAGGAGCTGGAGGTAAGGCTGCACAGATATGCAGACAGTGATCTTGTTATTGTGTGCAAGAACAACATTGATGTCTGTAAAGTGCACAACACAGTACACAAGTACTGTGCACAAACCTGCACTGTACTTCTTCTATATTGTACTTCTTGTATGTGCATGACCTGTCCACAGGCACTGAGCAATGTGCATGTAATTCAGAGCAATCCTACCGTTCTGGATTACTTGATGATGGGCTTGTTACTCTGAATAGGAAACACACAGGGACTCCCCCATAGAAATGCCCATAATCTGGGCTTCAGCCTGGCATGGGACTACAGCCAGCACTAAAAGAATAAAAATATGCTTACACTTGCCTACAGCAGATGTAAACGGGACCTAGTGCTACTTGCACTGTTTTTCCTGGTGGATTAAAAGGATTTTTAAATTGTATGATGCCTGTTCTTTAACAATAATTGAGATAGGATATAAGCCACACAAGCAGTGCATAATATTTAACATGTCGACTGACTCCGAACCTTGCATTGTGAGAAAGAGCAGCAAAATTCAACCATTGTGTAGCACATGCAAAGCAGTAAGCAGGGCCTGGGTATGTTATGAGCAAATATGGCTAACCCCATGTACATATATAATTACAAAGTATTCACAGAAACAAGGTAAAAGAAAAAACACACAATAATAATATTTTTTACATTGACTCTTGTCGTTTACACAATATTTAACAACATGACTGAAATGACTGTACGTTACATCTGAGATGGCCACACAACTTACACACTGTTGTACAATCTCTTTGGAAGCTTTTGGATTTACCAACAACTACTTAGAGTGAGCGCTTGCATCCAAAAATCCCTTTCACTTGCATTCAATTATGCAGCCATAACACTTCATACTTGCTGGGTAATCTAAAAGTGATTGTACATCAGACTGTAACCTGTGTGGCCAACTTAATAGGGAAGGCAACAAAAAAAAAATCCAGATCCAGATGCCTGGAAGAATCACTTCATAAACAGTATAAAAATTAGATAAGAAGTTTATTTACAGCTCCCTTTCCATAAAAACAACAATCTATATAAAAACAGCAGCACAGATTACATTTGATTACCTGATGCTGTTTGTCACACCAGCATCAGAACACTGAATACAGTTTATGTAGATAGTCATTGCTCCTGAATTGGTCTAATGCTCAAATTTGTCATTTCATTTATTCCAGTTTTTCAAGATCTTCTCACCAGCGTCCAGTGTCTCATCTCGCTGTAATACATAAATACATTTGATTCACCCTCATTCTATAATACATCTGTTAAAGCAACACATCAGAATAGGCATGAGGAACTCCAAGGAGGTAACCAGATCTACTACTGCAATCCAGGCAACAAAGGGACTGTGCTACATAGCCAGTCTTCCATAATGTGCGATTTATGAATATCTAGTGAAACAATATTTTTTTTAAACTCTGTTTATTAAACCCAGACCGTTGTACAAAGTTATTGAATCATATAAATACAAGCAAGCAATTACAATGAGCATGCAAAGTCATCTAAATACAGATATGTAAAGTAAAAGAAACAAACATTGACCTCATGCGAGTTTTTGTTACACACATGCATTGTATGACATCGTACAAAAGGCACTTGAACACCAATTTTGGCAGTTGTGCCTTTTGGACCTAGGTAGGTCATTTTCAGGAGTAGAATTACACTATACGTTGCAGATGTTTTGAAACTTAAAGCCTAACTCTGGTTTCTCACGATGGAAAATCTTATTGGTCTTTATCTATCGGTTTCCTTTTTAAATTCCCCAACCCCATAATCTTCATACATACAGAAAGATCCTTATTTAAATTCACCATTCCCTTTCCCTTTAATGCTAATTTCCTGTCCTGGGGACAAGTCCTGTTTTATCACTTGTTATCTTTATGGGGGATCAGTCCCCTCATCGCCACCATGTAGTTCCAACTAATATGTCAATTACACAAACCCATGGGTGTTAATATTACAATTCCGATAGAAGAATCCATGAGCCTACCCATGATTCTGCCTGCAGATTAGAGGAGAAAAGGAAGCAGCATTCAGGAATCATGGGAATTATAGTCACGGCAACAGGAGGAAATGAGGTGCCGCAGCTGTGCAAACCCTCCTTCACACACACAAGCATTGCTGTGACAACGTCAGGACAACAACATCACAAATACAATGATACTCGATTTATGCTTTCTGCAATCGCAATATAAAAATTGTTTACTAGATGGATTAAAAAGGTGTACACACTATTTCAGAATGCAGTTAGACCAGAGTGGGGCTTTAAAAGAAACAATTTCTATACCAATACATGACCTTCTCATAAGGATTTGATAGATGGCTATAGCTTTACTAGCCCTAAAGAGGGTTTCCCACAAGAATATTCGAGTGTAGCATGGCCATTGTTCTTCATCCATTATACTGCATAGACAAATGTTGAACAAGGGAGAGGGAGGTGCAATATAGTAGTAGGTACTTTGACTACCCGCTTCCAAAATTCAGAGATCACTGGACAACATCAGATGAGGTGCATAAAATCTGCTTAGTGCATCTTGTAAAATTGGGAGTAGCCATACATCTAATTTTATGCAAACTGAACCAGAGGGGACAATGTAGGGGTTAGGTAAAGTGTCAATGGTTCAGATAGCAAGAAGGTTAAGGTGTGTTTCAGTTTTAGGAATGATCTATATGTTTGGGACAATTAGGGAAGGGAATTTAGGATTTTCTTGGCACGGAGAGCCCGTTACCAAAAATTACCAACACCGGGCTCCAAGCACCATATAAACTACTTGGATGTAATTGCAGTTTCCTGTCCAATTATCTTATATTTGTAACCTCAATCTCATGTTCCAGTCTGGATAGAGAAACTACAATGATCCTGAAAAATCAGAGCTTAATCCCCTGAACACATTGGCCTTCATTTTGTAGGCTCATATACAGAGCCATCCCAAAAATACTTTAGGTATTCTTCCAACTTTAAAGATATAGCTGAGATATGTCCTCTGTTCTTAAATGAAAATTATTCATGTTTGACTGGAGAGTACAATCAGGAGCTTTAAGGGCCCATTCATAGTGCACTGCAGTAACACACAGTGTAGGGTACATTTAACCACATCGCACTGCAACTTAGGTATGTGCGTCACCATTTTGAATTGCACCCTAAAGCACATACAGAACACAACTGCGCTACAGCGGCACTGCAAGGCACTGTACATTGTGGTGTGCTGTAGTAAAACATTTTAGCACAGGAGTGATTTCTTCTGGGTTGGGACAGATTCAAAATAAATAGGCAGTAATGTAGTCTAGGATATTTGACCACCCTGAATGCACTATTTTTTGCAATCACACCATGCCGGAACGCAGGGCATTGCTGTACCATGCCGGAACACTCTGAATATATGGTGTGAACTGGTCTTTAATCACACAAAAAAAGCAAACAGCAGGCGCTATCAGAAAGGTATTTATTTTCAGGATACTTAGATTATGAAAATAAAATCTTTTAGATTACATTTAATAACAGACTACTTTACATCTTATGAACATTTTAATATACTATATAGTCTTACCTTAATAAAACAGAATCTGATATATTTCTCAAACTGTTTCTTGGACTCAGAGCCACAAAAAGCAGTTACTGGAATAGCAGCTAGTTTCTAAAATACATTTTAAACAAAACATATAAAATGTTATTTGCCATAGATATTAGGCTTAGCATTAGATAGATGTAAACGTTAGTTTCTGAAGTATACATTAGATCAAAAGTTAATCAAAAAGAGCGTGTTGTGCGAATCTACTTGATTGATGGGATTGTTTACATATGCTCTCACATTATGTAGTGGCTGTTATATTTATGCTGATTTGAAGCACAATCTGAATGTGTGCAGTTACGTTTAGATTTCAGGCAGATTAATAATATTCACTAAATCGCTGTCAGATCACATCCACCTGTCTGCGTGGCATGCTTTACACTATGAAAACAGTGCAAAAGAAAGAAACATTCCTAGTGCTTTGTTGTGACGTGAATACGCTGAAAATACAATGGGGGGGAATTTATCAAAGCAATTGCAACAGTTTTAGCCTCTTAGAGCAATTTTTATGTGCAAATCTGTCTTTGAACATGTGCCCCTGTTCTGACCTGAGCTTGCACTACTTTTTCAACTGCACGTTTCTTTGCATCTGTTTTCATCTGCACTTGTCCTGCAGCTGTCTGAAACAGGAGCATCACCGAATAAAACAATCCACAACTTAAGAAGTCCCCATGACCACTTCTTCAAGAAGCGACAGTTAAGCTTTTTGCCTGGAGTTACGAGTCTTCTTTCCTGGAGTCTATTTAATCTCATTTATGAACATTACACTAGCATCATAAATCTGGTGCAAAATGCATCAAATATATTCCGTGCAAGTTCAAACACAATTGCTATGATAAATTCCCCCAATGTGACTTATCTTGAAGAGTTCCTTAAAAATGACATTACCCACCTTTGTTTTAATCATCCACTTTACAAATTTGTAATCATAAGGTTCATCACCTTTTTCTTCAGAAAGATCCACACCTTGAACACAAATAAAGTCTGGTTTAGTATTGGCATATTACACATTATGATTTTAGCTCCACATTCTTATCTCTTCATCTGTTTGTAGCATACGTTTGCCCTCCTTTTAAAGTTTTCAGAATCTAGTTTGCCAGTGAATCCTCAGTATTAAAAGAGAACTATGGGCCAAACCTTTTTTGGCTGAAGTTCTCTTTAGGGTCACATGAGGACATTTACTAAGACCCAAAAAACACTGACAGTGCAGAGCTGCGCTGCTGTCAGGAAAGATCCCGACAATATTGTCGGGATCCCCCCTGCTGCTTGATTGACAGCTGGCTCTACCTCTTAGGAGCAGATCCAGCTGTGCTGCTCCCTCACACATCCATGCCTTCCAGTCAGTGCTGGTTCAATAGAGCCGATGTGTGTCAGCTGCAGACACACGCCGTCTCTAAGTATGGGGATCAGTGCATTTCACTCTCACCATAATTCTCCTTTAAACATACTACTTACTTCAACATGTGATTTATAATCGTGTTTTGGTTACATTACCTTTTCTTGTGGAAAATATGTCATTGCCAATATGATCTGAATTTTGACTTCCTCTATCCTATGTTATGCTCTATTCAGTGCATTCTGAAGCCTACTAAATGAGCACTAGATGTCACTGTAGCACAAATGAACAATACTGGCCAACTACTGATGCCTTTATTCTCATTTGCCAAAGCCATTTTCTTTTGTTCAGCTGTTATTTTCTCCATACAGCTCCTCTCATGGTTCATATCTTTAAAAGAGTCAACTGACAAAAGGTGTACAACATGCTTTTATAGCCTGCTCTGAAAGTAATGTCTTCTCCTTTGTGGACCAGAACCAGTTTTACTAAATAAAGTGATATTAAAGAATAATTTTTTACATTTCTCCTTTAAGGAGACCCTCCCCCCCCTGCACAGGTGCCACCATCGTTCTAATGGAGGCACCCGTGCCCGCTCGTTTCCACAGTGGCTGGGTGCTTCCATAGACACACACAGCCCTGTGGCAGGCCACGCCCCTTCCATCTTTGATTGATGGCAGAAGGAGCCCATGGCTCCTCCGCCATCAGTATCCTCCCCCCACAACCCAGAAGTTCGGGGCAACGGAGCATCGCTTTGGGACCGGCGGCGGGGACGAGCGCAGCTGACAGGTAAGTGTGGAGGGGACTGGGGTAGAAAAAAGGTGCTGGCCCGTTTTTACCCTAATGCAGAAAATGCATTAAGGTAAAAAAAGCCCAGACCTTAATACTACTTTAAACCCAATGAGTCCCGCCTGTTCTCCAGTGGATGAAGGCTAGATTTCCATACATCATTTTATAGTTCAATGCCTCATAGAAAGTTTAATACACACTGAAAACTGTAACTGAAAATTCAAACTTGTTGTTGGAAGCTGCTGGTTTTTTTTTCTAATAATAATGATGTTGTTTTATCAAGCCGATTATAGAACGTCTGCTCTGAAACTTGCTAACACAAATATAAATACTATAATAAATAATAAACTAGATAATTATTTTTTTTCAAATACTAAAGGATTTATTCAAAGGCGAACTCCAGTTAAACAATTTAGTAGCCCTTGGAGTTGAGCTACCCCCACGCTGCAAGGGTCAAGAGCTCATTTTGGTCTAGGTGCTAAACATCTATACACAGTCTATGCACAGTGTATAGAGCGTGATGACCAGGATCCTTAGAGTGCTGCAGCAGAGGGGGAGAGACACTGGAGACACTGGTCTAAGAACAAGCTGGCTTGGATGGTCTGGTGAGTATAACATTGTTTTTTTAGCACCTAGACACAAACAAGCACTTAACCCTTGCAGTGAGGGGGTAGCCCCACTGCAAGCGTTAGTAAAACATTTTCCCGGAGTTCTTTTTTTAAACAGCGGTATGGCATATTTATAATGCCATGTGCCTTTCAAATCTTCTGTCATGAGACACGAGACCAAGCTCACCTCTCATACATTAAGCAGATAGAACTCTGTAGCGCAGTGGCTCTACTCCATGGCCTGCATTTTACGAGGTATGGAGTAACCTTGCCGAGTATAACTATAATGGAAAGTAAACAGTAATATCTGCTCTCTGTTATAAATATGTCCCTTAGAACGAATAAAGAAAGCATGAAGCAAATCTTGTGTGTTCCTAAGCTGCAAAAATGGACCAGCTGTGCTTAGCATAGGTATTCGATTTTAAAAGCAAATCATCAATGTTTCATAATCAATGCGACAGAAAGAAGTTAGTACTTGTCACTATTCCTAGGCTAGTCATGAAGACAACAGCATAGACACTGCTAATAACAGCAGGTTATGTGTGATTTCAAATAACATCGCAGTATAGCTCTAGTAACTCCTAGGGTCTAACTTCAGTGAAATTCAAACGTTTTACTCTTTTGTACCCTGGAGAAGTAAATAGTTAATATGGGACAAAATCAGAAAAAAATATCTTGTTACCAAGTACAGAAACATCTGCGATTATGAAATATCCTCCTTCTGGAACGACTGGCTGTAGTCCAGCTTCCTGAAGCAAGCGAGCCATTCGGTCACGCTTGGCTTGTAGTTCCCGAGGTAGTGAGTTGAAATAGCATTCTGGCTCATCCATCCTTTTAAAGTCCTTGAAGAGAGCATTGGCCAGGGCCTCCTGCACAATACAGCAAATGTCACTGCGCCATTGGGGACCCACTCTAATACACTGCGCACACACACACACAAAACGTAACATACTTTTAAACAAGCACATAAAATTGCAATAAAAGTACTTGTCGATTCAGCCCAATGTAAACCTCACAGCTCAAGTTACAATCGGACTCTACAAAGTCCCTCAGATCAACCAACAGCTACGTAGTGCAAGGACCTGCCTGGTTGGATACAAATCGAATGGATGTTTACTTAGGTTTGGTAAATCCAAAGGATTTACTTGATTGCATTTTTAAGATTTAGCTCCTGAGTTTAGTGTCACTTTAAGGGCTGATGCACCTGGGCACCAATATAGGCATACAGCGTAAAATACGCCTATATTTCCGGTACCCGAGAGCCCCAGGAGCACAGGATTGTATGCACAGATAACATTGTACAGGGGTACACTGGTACTGGCATTTATATACGTACAGTGTTCGTTCCCAAACGCATAACCTCATGCATATACCTGCCTACTTTATTATTTTCTGCCCACGCAATTCTATGGACAGAAAAACACAGCAGCTGGGGCTTCTGGGTCTGCAAATACACCTGTATTTTACACTGTATGCCTGTATTTGCTCCCATGTGCATGAGCCCTAAAGTGTATCCAATGTCAAAATGTGGAGAGAGTGCTTAGGGATTAGAACCCCTGTCAGGTGTCTATTGCAGTCTGTATGCTTGCAAGAGTCCCTCTTGTTGATTGTCCTGGTGACAACCGTCGCAGGACTAAAAGTGATGGAGAATCCAAAATTGTTGAGTTGTCACGGTTCCTGACTTATGATTCACACATAACACTTACCTGTAATGGAGTAGGGCAGGTGTATATGAGGTTCTGATGGACCGTTTGTAAATGTTTAATAAGATGCTCAGGACCAATGGACCAACCAAGCTTTGGAAACAAAACAAAAAAAAGAGACAGCATTACTAGTTTGATAATCTGAATTAATCTAAAGTCTCCCTCTGATTAGACCATTAGCCATGGGCATCCTCCTCAGATTAATTTTATATTACCCTAAGCCCTCATTCATATGAGTAACAGCCGGCCCGTACAGATCCGTGATGCGTGCACGGCTGTTTCAGGCCGCTCCCGGGAAGGACAAGTGCTGCCTGTGATTATACACAGCAGAATGTTCTTCTCTATGGAAGTACCTCGGCCGTACAACGCCCTATGCTCACCAGAACTGCACATTCGTACAGACATGCAGTTCGGGTGAGCGGCAGGCAGCGTACTCCCATAGAAGGAGAAAAGGCTGCTGCGAATAATCACATGCAGCACCTGTCCTTCCCAGGAGGGGCCCGAGACGGCCATGCACGCAGCACGGATCTGTACGGGCCGGCTCGGTGTGAATGAGGGCTAAAAGTGTAACTCCAACAAAAATGCGATTAGAATGGAGAAGGGTCAGAATCTGGGATAGTTTTTTTCTTCGAGTCTCTGTTAGGTACCTGACACTTCCTGTCTCAGTGACCACCATTACTGGGATAGGTGGAAAAGGAAAGCTTCCAAACAAAGATACAGACCCTAATATACATATAACAAAGGCTTTAATCTTTCCCCACTCTTAAAATGTTTTGGCTGGAGTTCCATCCTCATACCTGCACACAACATTGAATTTAACATGGCTATGTTACTGCTTTAAAGTAAACCAGTCATAAGAGAAATATCAGTGCTGACTTCCTTTTGAAAATCCTAGTGCACTTTTAGTAGAACATATACTAGTCCACATATGTAGTCCTCTTCACCTAAACTAAGGCCACCTACAGCTCAAATTTTGCCTGAATCAGCAGGAATCAGATGAAATTCAAGCTGTGGCACCACTCTGATAAGAAAATGGGAGCCAGGAGGAGAATTGGCCCAACAGTGCCTGCATCCAATCAGAGTATGTTTCCAGTCTCAGAGTACGACCACATTCAAGTTTACGAGGGTCTACTGCCCAAGAGGAGCCAGCACCGTACATTACCACCCAGAGAATGAGCACTTGTCCTTGAATACATTCAGAGAGACTCACCCAAAACATGTATACAGATCTGGAAAGTCAGTGAAAGTCATCAATCCTGATCTGCACACAGCCAGGCATTTAACATTTGCACTTGAAAGAGTTCAGCAATGGCGGCTTTCATGATTTTTGCATAACAGTTTTCCTTAGCACAGCTAGCTATTGACATACAAGGACAGTCTGAAGAGAAATAAAACTATAACCTCTGAAATATTGTTTTTCCCCCCAGAGAGATGCTGGTATGCTACAAGTGGCTCTGTGAAAGTACCTGCGCAGCAGCATTGCACTAATCTTTGAACTCCCTTAGTGAACCATCTGCTTTAAAAATGATCATCCCTGTCAAAAGACATTACTCCCAAAGGGGACCTCCAGAGTAATCTTCTGTGGCTGAAAGTGTCTCAAAGGAAGTGCCACTGTAACATGTTGTTAAAGCAGGTATCTGACAACAGATATTGAATAGAAATGTTTCGCTTCAGACGTGTATACAGATTGGTGATTAGGTGGGGTTTTCTAATGCAGCTGTCTGTGTCTGCATTTGCTTGATTTTGACATATGTTCACTGCTGCTCACCGTAAAGTTAGTTCATTACAGTGCCCTCCAATTCAGTGCCCTCCCAGAGTTTTACGTTATACAAAACTCAAGTACTTCTTAAAGTAAATATTCAGCTTTCATTTATCAGAAGTTATATGATAATGAATACAAGAGATGCCTGGGCCACTATTTAATTCCAACCTACAATACACTTCTTTACATCCTCAACCACAATGCTCCATTCTGTGAGAACCTTAATGCTGCAGCCCACAACTAGGTATGCACACCTGTGCATGTACCTAGTTCTCAGACCCTGCTAGTAAACTGAAAGTTTAGTCAGAGTTATATTTAGGTTAATTGAGGCACATTGATGATGCTAAACTTCTTATGGGCATCTAAGCAACTGATCTAAAGGGCTAACACCTTTTATGGCACTTTGGAGGCATCCCAAAAACTAGAGCTCACCTTGTTATATGGTAAAAGTTGCTAATATTTTGAACCTGATCTGGGACTCCTCTGTGACCCAGCTTACCTGCACTGCACCACCTGTGCCAGGTAAAGTCGCCACCTGCAGATTCCAACGGATGGCTTCTAATGCAGCCAACAGTAACATTTATTCAAGTACATACAGAGAAGTTTGTACATTTTTTTAGCTAATCCAATCAGCAAGGTGAGCTCTTTTATGCCGTGTATCTTATTTACGTGATGGTATATTTTACTACACTTAGTAAACCTATACTACCCATAGTTTTACCTGCATATGCCAGGCCCTGGGCCCCAACATAGTGGGCACTAGCTGGATTTTTGAACTCTTAAAATGGAAAAGGGTGCTGCCACAACAAAGCTGTAGAACTTCCACAAAGGACAATGATTCAGGAGCTAGCAATAGAAAATAATACCTTTTTACAAAAGTCTTACCTTCCATCCTGTAACACTGTATGATTTTCCTGCACTTCCTATTGTTATAGTCCTTTCCCACATCCCTGGTAAAGTTGCTAGAATTAGAAATATAGAACATTGGATCAACTGTTGCAGCATAACGGCTTTAAGAGAAATTAATTTTTGCAACTCCAATGGCCTGTGGTCCATATCTTCTTACACTATGGATTACATTCTGAATATGTATAATAATGGTCACACACACACACACACACACACTAAGGTTTTTACAACAGCAGCACCCATATTTAAAACTGAACTCTAGGAATTATCTTTTTTTTAACTTACATTATTTCAGCTTAGTTTCATGTAATTCTTCATATCTCACATCCGGAGGGCCGCTGGGGATGCAGAAATTTACTGTAGTAGCCTGTGCTACTTAACAGTCGGTGCTGGTCTTTTCTGGCTGCTGCTCAAGTGACTTGCAATCTGTATACTGAACACAGGAGATTGCTTGCTAGCCGCCTCAGCCGTTCTGAGAACATCTTTTTTAATGAATGCAAGGTGTTCTCTGATTGGACAAGGAGGGATGTCATCGGCCTCTCCGCTCTGCCTTGATTAATCAGAAAAGGCCTTTTATTCACTGAAAAAAATGAATGGTGGAAGTTCCAAGCAAGTGACCACCTGTGTTCATTATAAAGAAGACTAGTCTAAGCAGAAATATGAGGAAGAGACAATCATTGGCTGTATTTAGCACAGACTACTACAGGTCAATTTTTGCAATACCAGCAGCATTCAGGATTTGAGATATGAAAGTGTAATGTAATGCAAGTTAAAACAAAAATTCCTGAAGTTTAGCTTTAAAATAAAGAACCACATTTTTCAATACATTTTTGAGAATTGTGTGGCAATTCAGAACATAACATTTTATTTTGTACATCTAAACACCTAAATGAAATGCATATACAAGAACAGCTGCACCTGCCTAATGTCTGTAAAATCCTATGGCAGTTCTGTATTCTCCACCTCTAACAGCTGCCTAAACACTTCTTCATCCAGCTACCAGTGCCTGAAAACATGCTAGAATGATGGTGCTGAGCACTAGTGATCAACCTGGGCTTGGTGCAAACCCAGTATGCCTGAGTTCGGCCAAGCCCGCTCAAAAATGTGAAACACAACCCCCTCCAAGCCCAACTAGTTGCGGCAGACGCATTCCCTGCACCACAGTTACATGTCACTAGGAGGCAGGGAATGCCCCTGCTGCAACTGCCGCCATTGACTGGGCCATGAGGACCCGGCTCATTAATACTGATCACACATACAGAGGATTTCTTTAGTACATACATAACTGGACTGAAGGATGTTTTTAACATTTGCGACGCTTGGAAAATAAAGCTTTTTTGAGGCAAAGAACTTTAGGCAAAGTACTGGCATATCTGCACGGTGATAAAGCACTAACAATCTTACATTATTCTGGCTGCTCTGAAATAAAAAATCCTAATGCTGCTTATTGCACATCATCACTGGTCCTTGCATTGCCTTATCAAAAGGAGATCACCAGGAAGTACAAATTGCAGTGGTCAGAGAATTATTTGTCTGTAACTTATACTCATCTCCATATTGTCCTTCACTGGGAACACTGCTGCAACATTTCTGATCTCTACACTGTAGTATCAACTGCCGCCATGATTACAGACTGCATTATGTAAACTGAAGTAGTCAGGTCACTGAACTTGTATGGGGATGACTACTTCAATTCAGATGATAGCACCAGGCCAAGAACTATGCAGGAAGCTGTTGGAAAGTTACAGATAGCAGTGATTGCAGCAGCATGCCCAGAGAAGCATACCATTGAGGTTAGGATAACAGATTACACTTATTTCCCTAGCACTGTTATTTAAAGCTTCCTGGAGTCCCACTATAAATTAGCCTAGATTAGTACCTATTTTTACATGCCGGCTTTCAGAGAACACCAGCCACTCGTAAACTTCATCACTAAAACAGATCGTGTCATGTTTTATACACAAGTTTGCAATGACCTGTAGTTCTTCCTTTGTATACACCTAAGGAGCAGGAGAAAAGGGAAAATGTTTGTATGTTAGTGAAACCAACTCTAAAGTAACAAGGTAATAGGGTAAATCAATTCTTGTTATAATATATCTCAATGTACAGTTGATATACAATCGAGTCTGTAATGTAATGTTACTAGAATTACCTTTTTTCATTTTATAGCCAGCTAGAGTCTTCTAAAAGTGTCAAAAGAATGAAAGTTGCTTCTTTCTATACACTATGGGCGTCCAGAACAATTTCAGAAAGGTCACTTCCTGCTCATAGGGTTGGCTCATTGATGTTTCTGAGAATATGGCAATATGACCCTCACACTTATCACTCACTCAGGAAGGGAGTACAAACAATGTGTGATTTTCAATACAGATGGCAGCAGGTAGGACTCTGCAATGATGTCTGATACATTCTTTACAATGCAGGTAACAGACCAGGGAGAATTGTTTTTTAATTACACTTTAATCATAGAAAAGCAATGGTATTGGTACCCTATAAAAAGTGTTGCGTTTTGGGAGAAAAGCTTCCAATAAATAGGTCTTGTACAGACATACATACAGGTATCACACAATGTCATTCATGTCAGCATAGTTCTATGACATCCCTTGGCTTCTATTTTTTTAAGATATCAGGCAACATTTTACAAACAAAAATTCTAGTTCTGCAAACCTACACCATTCCCAATTCCTTCCAACAAAAGTAGGAATGCCAGTTCACCAACAGTGTACCAACAGCTGAAGACCAGGTGGTTCCTCCAGTCTAACAATTTAACCCGTTACAGTTTATCTAAAAACAACTTTATCCAAAAACAAAATGTAATAGGTTGCAGCTTAGCGGTCCTTAGATGTGGCTACATTAGTTTTCTTTTCTTCAGGCGTCCGCCAATAATGGTCCTGGGTAACAACTTATGGTCCTAGGGCAACAACGCTCAGAGTGTTCTGTACCTATAGAGGAGCAGCGTTGTCAAACTAGGGCAGGAAGTGTTAGGACTACAGAACACCTCTATCGCTTATCCTTATAACTAAGGCCTGGTTCACACCTAGGAGTGTTTGAGCAGGTTGAAAAGTGCTTTTAAATGCCCAACACAAGAAATCCCATGATTTTCAGTGGCCCTAATTCACACTGGAGCAGAAAAAGGTACAGGAGCTTCTTTGGGCAGTTAAAAGTGCTTTTTTGCCCCATACACTTAATTGGAAATGGCCAAAAACACGCGACAGAAGCATGTTAAACATTTTCGTGAGCGCTTTTGCGCATTTATACGCGCGTTCTTCCATTGCCCACAATGTTTTATGAGCTGCCTATTAAAACGCGCATACAAATGTACACAACGCACATAAACCCGCAAATAACCGCATGTTAACGTGCGTACAAACGCGCAAAAACTGTGCCGCCTAGGTGTGAACCAGGCCTCAAGGGGGAGGTGTTCTGTAGTTGGCAGGTGGAGGTGTACTGGGCAGGACTGATCACATTGCTTGAGATAAAACTGTGCACAGGGACTTACAACTTCACCGGACTTTTGGTCGGGACCAAGAGGAATTTGACATGTATTGAAAAAATACAACAAACCTCTTTGAATTGTATACAGGTGAAACTCGAATAATTAGAATATCGTGCAAAGTTCATTTATTTCACTAATGCAACTTAAAAGGTGAAACTAATATATGAGATAGACTCATTACATGCAAAGCAAGATAATTCAAGCCGTGATTTGTCATAATTGTGATGATTATGGCTTACAGCTCATGAAAACCCCAAGAACCCCAAATCCACAACCTCAAAAAAGTAGATTATTACATGCAATCAATAAAACAAGGATTGTACATAGAACAATATCGGACCTCTGAAGTACAAGCATGCATATGTACTCAGTACTTGGTTTGGGCCGCTTTTGCAGCACTTACTGCAATTACTTTTGCACGATATTCTAATTATTCGAGTTTCACCTGTATTTAACAGACCAAAAGTGAGCAAATAGAGATGTTTATAGTTAGGTTTTACAAACACTTTAACCTCCCTGGCGGTCTGATTATGTCAGTATTTTTTCTTACATAATCTTCTATTTTTTTACTTTTGAATTTCCCGCTGGTTTCGCCCACCCTCCGACGCCGGCGCTCGCAGGGAAAGAACCCGGAAGACGGATGCCAGCATCGGACAAGGTAAGTGACGCTACAGTGTAATCCCGAGTGCGGCTAAAGGGTTACCGCTTTTGGTACTGAAAATTAACCCCGAGCCACACTCGAGATTACCGCCAGGGAAGTTAATGGTGTTTCTGTAATCAAACATGGCAATTTTCAGGCAAATTCAACCACTTTCAGACACCTTCCAATTGCAAAAACTACCCAAAAAATTAAGCCAAACAACCACCAACACAATGAAAGCATTTTTCGGTATTTACAAACTGTTGGTGGTAGTCTGCATTCATTCATTTGGTAGTTTTACAATTAACACATACAATAGGTGACACCTGTCCTTGCTGCAAGTGGTACTTACAGAGGAGTAAACCCTCCATGACTAGCACTTCCATCTTCACCCAGCCTTCAGCTATCTTGATTGGCCAGGATGACAGAACTCCCATATATGCGGGTTACTTCATCCTGACACAGAATTGTGTAGAGACTACACACTGAGCTGTTTATATGTGGCCCAGTGTACACTTACAGAAAAAAAATGTTGACAGGCAGGTAGAAGCAACTATGACCGAAGTGACATACACAGTCTTTTCTGTCATTAAAAAAGCCTGCATGTGAGCAATTTAACAGACTTCACTTCTGCTTTATTGGCAGGGTTATATTTTGTGGCATATAAATTGATTGGAAATACAATGAGCTGATCTCTCATTCCTATATAATGCTCATAAAAGTTCTACCTTCCAGGATGTTTACACATTACAACATAATCTTACTGCTGAAATACAGTGATCACAGTGCCTACCTTGCCCATAGGATTGTTTGGAGTGTTTACTAGGATTGCTTTTGTCCTAGAATTGAATTTGCTGGCTAGTTCTTCGGGGTCTAAAGCCCAGTCAGCACTTGATAAGGTTCCTTTTCCACTATCTTTCTGAGTATGGAAAGCAAAAATATATAATATTTAAATATATGAACAAGATTATTATATTAATCAATATGAAAAAAAAAACATTCATACATGGATTCTAGTTTTATAAACACTTTTCCATTATTTAAAAACATTACTCCCAAACTAAAATTGCTCCCCTCCACAACCACCCTTGCAGATGAAGGATCCAGTTCTTGTTTTTATCTAAAGGATAAGATAACTTATTGCTTACCTTAAACTGAATTTCCACTTTTGCAGTCAAATTTGAGATCACCTTACTATATGCTTGTTATGCGTTCCCATTCACACAGAATACCGAAACATATTTAAAAAAAAAAAAAATTCTTACCTAGTAGAAGTTTGGTTGCATTACAGATTTTTCTCAGCACCTTCACAGTGATCTGTCCTTATAAAAAGACTTCGGCCTGAAACTTAAGGACCATGTTTCGCTCATTAACATACACTAGAGAAGCCCCTCACAACACCTCCTAACATTACAAAAGCAAGCAAGCAGAGATTTTAACCGTTAAAAAGCCAAGAAGCCCTAACCCTAGTAAAAGCAATTTAAGGTGCAAGAAGCATGTTTTAAATATATTTTTAGCTAATGCTATGTGGATGGAAACATGTAACAAAAACATAAAATAGGTGTTATTCCAATTTAGCTGCAAAAGTGGAAATACACTTTAATACATGGCCCCGTGATCTTTGCCCCTGCTAGTTCCACTTGTGACAATCGGCTCCTCAAAGCCAATCTTGTTTCTGGTCTCTGTCCAATTTTGTCATCACACTATGTACAGTGTAGGACCAGCAACTATGTCGTCAGGATAGTATGTGGTCAATGTTAGGAGATCCCAGCCATGTTCCAGCATTGGAGAGAAGTGAACCAGACAGCTGGCTGTCATGGGACTCTAGGGTAAGGTAAAAAATAGTATTGTGTGTTATCCCGTCACCTTAAAAAACATAAAAATCCCTTCGCTGATCTCCCTGGGTAGTATGAACCCAGTTCTGTGCTCTGAGTGCAGAAGTGACATTAGGGGGTCACATGAAATGTTTTCTGCACTCTGCTATCACATAGGGGGCTTATTAGCCCCCTTGTGAAAGCAGTAAAGAAAAAAAAAATATTACATTATAAAAAAACACAAAAACCGTTTAAAAAAAAGTCCCAGCCCCCACATGCATATGAACACAAAAATGCATCTGATTGCAAAGAAAAGTTTCACCACACATATTAGGTATCACTGCAAACACCGGAGTGAGAGCAAAAATTCTAGGGCCACCATTCACTGTTAACTGGAAATTTATGAGCTGTAGTTTTTTGCTGCTTCACAGGCGCAAGCTATTTTGAGGCTTGACCTAGTTGGTATCTGTTTACTTGATGCAACCAAATCTTTTATGTTTTATCAAAAATTGGGTTTTATCAAAAATTGGGTATTGAGTTTGTGTGCACTAAAATTAACACTTTGCATTTTTTCCTGGCCTAAAATGTACACTTTAACAGGCATAATAAATGAAAAAAAAAAAAAATGCCTCTGACAGCAAAATGGGTTTAATCCAGAAAATCCAGGGTACAAAGAACATTCAGATTGCTAACCCCGACCATTTAATCTTACTGTGAAATTCCTCTTCAAAAAGAACTTAATATCATTCAATTTTATTATATCTTATTAAAAAATGCAGCAGGATTAAGTGTAAGCCTTTGCAGTTTATTATCCTTTTGAGACTGTGGGTGCACCTACTCTGCCTTGGTTAAGCAGTCACCAAGACCAGTATGCGAATCATTTGAAAGCCTAAGGGTTAGTTCACACCAGAAACTGCATCACAACTGCGTGCGTCTGCGCAGTTGCATTGCAATCCGTTGTGACGCATTTGTGAAGCATTTTTTCCCCCTGCATGTCCCTGGATGATGCCACAATCAATTTGGTTTTTTTTTTTTTTGTATGCAGTCCGTTGTGTTTGCACTGCGTTTTGATGCGTTTAGTGCAGTTAGATGCAGGTAAAATAGGACAAGCAGTACTTTTTCTGACTGCACCTGAACGGACTGCAATGGTGTGAATTAGGCACGAGAAAGCCCATAGGAAAGCATTGGGATGTATTTTGACTGCAGCAGTTAAAATAAACAGACTGCATCACAACTGCATATGGTGTGAACAGGCCCTTAAATGTGCCTGCTTCTTCTATCAGGTCACATAGCTACTGAAGCAGTAATTAAATACATTTTATCCGCTATATGAAAGAACTTTAAATGTCTGCATTGGTCAGATCATACGTGAAGTCACTGCATATTATTCGGTCATCTCATAGGCCCGAAACATCCAATACACAGTGTTCAGACACACAAATACGTAATTGTCATGCAAAGACTTCACAGTCTAATTTCCCCCCTGGTCAATGACTGAATTATTAAACATTATGTCAATCCTATGCAAGGCTTGGAGCACTTGTTTTGCCTTGGGCAAATAGTAGCCTAGACTTTGCCACCTGTCAGTTATTTCAAATGCCTTAACTTCATGTTTTGTCTAGGTCAGACACAGACTGACCCACAGCTTCATCTACCATAACAAAAGTCTGAAGTGTTTACTTCACCCTAAACACACAGATGCTGAGCCATTGCCCATTATGGAGAGGCTAGGAGCGCCTGCTTTATTTTGGGCATGCAGATACTGAGACACTGTTCATTTCCTCAAGTCATATCAAAGCCTTGAAACTGCTTTGTCTAGGTCAGCAAGACCCAGAGATGTTCAAAGCACCTATTTTCTCCTACAAAGTACAAATAAGCCAGTAATTGTGGGGATAAGATGAAAAATGAACTCGTTTTGACGCTTTTAGAGCAACGGGATCACTCACTGGTTTCATTATGGATTGTAAGCTTAAAAGTAATAGCAATGTTATCTCTACAGACAACCAATCTGATTTTAACTGTAACTCCCAAAACAGAAGTTTCCTACAAATTGTTCATATTATACTTGCACATCTCAGTGGAATGTGGACAGGTGTGGCCCCAGCCATCCTTATCATGGGATCATAGCAGTCAAAAAAGGGCTCAATAATTATCACCTGCATCAAAACAAACAGAAAAATAAACCAAAGACCGGCATTAAAATAAAGCAGTAGTATTGCTCTCAATACTGGATTATTATCAATGTACAAAAGAAAATTAACTGTACCCTATGAATTAACCCATGCGCATTTGCAGGAGTTGCATTATTCCAGCCCACAGGACCTATTAAATGCTACATTTTAATTCACAAGCTAGCAGGTAGAGCTTTAGGTTTTCGTTGAAAAATTACTGTTTACATAGCTCAGCTGAGAATAACACATAGTGAAGGAGCCACAGCAGTGACTTAAGGTGCCCATACACCTTACGATTATCGGACGAAACTTTTCGTCCGATGATCGAATAGTTGTATGATTTTCGTACGGCAGCCCCATCCTGCCCCGATGATCGCAAGATTAATTTAGCCGTAATTAACTAAAAGCACCTGGACGAAATGCGGTAATTGATTTGCCGTATTTTCGTTAGCGCAAGCGCAGTGTAGATCGTACGACTTTTGACGGACGGAAACGCCAGCAACCTTACGACAATCGTACGATCTAGCAAAGTTTTCAAACATGCTTGACCGTCAAAAGTCGTACGATTGTACAGTACTGTCGGTCGGACACTGCAATGCACACATACGATTATCGGCCGAAAAGTCGATCGCATACGAAAATCGGACGATAATCGTAAGGTGTATGGGCACCTTTATCCTCCTCACCCTTCTATCAGGTTTGAATGCGACAGTGTCTGAGAAGAAATAACTTCCACTGTGCTCCTTTCTAAGAAAAAATATGATCCCTTTTAATCCTTTGCCATGCATTACATTTTTATCCGTAAAACAAAAACGAAAAAAATACAGTGAAGGGAATTTATTAAAACTAGAGCAGACACAATCTGGAGCAGCTATGGCAACCAATCAGCTTCTCTCTTTCATTTTCAAATCTTAACTGAACAAAACTGAAGTGAGAAGCTGATTGGTTGCCATGAGCAACTGCTCCAGTTTTGATAAATTCCCCCATAATATTCTATAGCTCCCCTTTTAAACCACCATTTACATAAACTGATAAACAGTAAGATGATCACACACACACACACACACACACACACACTTTAGGTTCTCTTTAAAGACCAAAATGAAACTCACTTCATCGCCTTCTTCTACAAGCCCCTGGATTGCACAGAAAATGGATCCATATGCCCCCACTGTCACAAGGATGTCTTTGTTTGGATCTATCTTTCTTCCAGTCACTTTGCCATAAACCTGAGAAAGAGCATCTACCAGCGGTGGGTGACCCTAAATAAAGTAGTAAAGATAAGTTGTACAGAATTGGAAATAAATACCAGCTTCTTAAAAGACACTCAATTAAAAGATGACTCTCAATGCGAATACTAAATGCCCCCAGATATCAGTTAGGTTCACCTGAAAATGCACTTTTTTAAAAATGTCTTTTAATATAAATACAAACACAATACATATGTTGATCATTACAAAAACAAGTCCAGAAAAGAAACAGCATGGAACTTAAAAGGATTCTGAGTGGTAGCTTAAACAGCTAAAAACTCCATTTCAGATTTTCTCTCCAGCCCCCACTTCAAGTGAAACCTGTGCTGCCAGCCAAATTATTATATTTTCCAATTTCCTTAAATTAAAAATGATACCATTGCCCTTCATGATAAAGTCTCTTTATTTCTCCTATTGTGATCTGTATATATAACCTAGTTATATTTTCTCAGATCCTCCCTGTTACATAATCACAGATAGTTTCATTGGTTTTGTAAACGTTAAAACAGCAAACTCCCCGTTATCCGGCATCCAGGGGGATTGGTAGATTCCATATAAATGTCGTTTCTGGTTGTTTAGGAGGTACTATTAAAAATAGGTCTAACTAATAATGCCATACCCCATACTATACTATAACATAAGAAGTTGAAATGCAATAATCAGAAGCAAATTAAGACAAATAGGCACACGATTGTTTTCAGGATAATACATGCCGACGATCAGCAGAAGAGCGAGTACACAGGAGATGTTTTTTTCTAGTTAGAGTTCTGGTTAGTTGAATACTGGATAACAGAGAGTTTACTGTACTTTTTTTTTGTTTGTCTTTCTTACTACAATAAAAGTGTGGCCGCCCACTTCCTGACTTCTCACCTAGACGAGGTGAAGTAGTGATCGGCCACCGGCAGCCTCCTGGAATATCCACATTACACATCCCAGGAGGCTGTGGAGATGAATTACTGCACTATTGCAATGCAGTGTACCATCCAAGACCCATTTGTGCATGCGGGAGATCAAGTAGCGCGTTATCAGGGGGCCCGCTGGAACATGAGGAAGAGACAGGCGGCCTCCAATTAAAACGACTGGCAGCACAGAAACAGGACAGCACAAAAAACTTTGGCTGCAAAAAACAACACTGGACTTTTTGGACTAGTAAGTATGCTTTTTTTCATATGAACAAGGACACTTATTAGAGAGGTTGCATTTAGTTTTACATATGTAGAATTAAGTTTCTCTGGAAGCTGTGATATGAAATTACAATAGGCCATCTAACCAAGTTTCAGGGGTCCCTAAGGACTGCAGTACAACCTTTGCTATTTGACAGAATCATACACATCAACTTGTTACGGTGACAGGCCATTAGTAGTAAGTGGAAACCATAATGTGCTCATCCCCACCAATAAGACCTATAGTAAACTGACACATGGTATTTTATGCTCCCACATAACAGTGACTGCTGAAATTAGAGGTTACAAAGGTTGTAAATGTTCTGAAGTTCTATTTAGGTTTAATTATTAATATAGATGTACATGGTGCCTAGCATAGTCCTTTATTAAATCTCTTAATCATTTTTCCAGCAAAAAAACTCTCACCCTAGCTTTCCTTTCTTTCCACCACACGGATTTCACCACCCATTAGCTTTAAGTACTGATAAGGAGTACAAGAGGAGAGCAAAAGAGGTGCTGGGCGATACTATACAATATTTATTCACATAAGCGTTTGTCCTTTTAACTCATCTATAAATTCTAATACTAATTTTCTTTGTCTCCTTCTACACCAAGCGACATATAATAATTTACAAGATATTGTCAGAAAAAAGAATTTACTCACAAAGCCTCGTGTGTACTGATTCAGTCTGTCCACAGTTAATGCTTGAGCGAGACCTTCTTTGACGTAAGATGGAGGTGATATGTCTGGAAATCCCTGGCCAAGATTGACTACCAAGGGATCCGCAGCAAGGGCTGTAAACTCAACCCTGTAGAGAAGCACACAAGTTTTACCCAGGTAAAAGAAAGCAGACAAACAATCAAAGTTTGAAGGATAAATGCAACTACATTTAAAAATTGCTTTGTAGAAAAAATGGTAACACCTAAATCACCTCATCTCCTTCTATCCGGTGTTGTACCCCATAGACTCATGTTCTATGATCCAGCAACAGTGCTCTTGCATATTGAATGACGCCCAGCATCATCCAAACCACTTCTTGTGACATATCATCTACACACCCCTGTAATTAATGAAGGTGGCGGTGGTTTCTGTTATCATCACTACTCCCTAGGCTCACAATACGACTGCGCAGAACAGTGTAGTCATGTGACTGGTCTGAAGAATGCAGGATGTAAAAGGTTAAAAGGAGAATTATGAGGTGAGTGCTTTTCACTCCGCCTCATTATCTGAGCCGACCTGTGACAATGAGACTGTCACAGGTCGGCTCAATAGATCGGGAAGTGAGCGAACACATACCGGCGTTTGCTCACTTCTCGATCCTGTCACTGCAGAGAGCCGTGATAGGGGAGGGACTGGATTCCCCCTCCCCGATCCTGCAGCGCTGACTGGCGGAACTGAATCTTGTCCATGTGCCAGGACAAGAACCTAAAAGGGACATTTAGGGGTGGGAAAAAGGCTCAATTTTGCCTTTATTCCTGCATTAATGATTTATTCAGTAAAAGTAGTGCAATGATGACCATTCACAGTAGCCCACAGCATTCAAATGTCATTTTACTGAAGTCAGATCACTTGGTTTATAATGAGTTACTAAACTTGACATTTTTTGTTTGAAAAAACCTGTTTAAGAAGCGACAGAAAACATGGATATATACTAGGAAATTTGATCATACTACAGGTGAAACTCGAATAATTAGAATATTGTGCAAAAGTTCATTTATTTCACTAATGCAACTTAAAAGGTGAAACTAATATAGGAGATAGACTCATTACATGCAAAGCAAGATAGTTCAAGCCGTGATTTGTCATAATTGTGATGATTATGGCTTATAGCTCATGAAAACCCCAAATCCACAATCTCAGAAAATTTGAATATTGTGAAAAGGTGCAATATTGTAGGCTCAAAGTGTCCCACTCTAATCGGCTAATTAAGCCATAACACCTGCAAAGGGTTCCACTTCCTGAGCCTTTAAATGGTCTCTCAGTCTGGTTCAGTAGGAATCACAATCATGGGAAAGACTGCTGACCTGACAGTTGTGCAGAAAACCAACATTGACACTCTCCATAAGGAGGGAAAGCCTCAAAAGGTAATTGCAAAAGAAGTTGGATGTTCCCAAAGTGCTGCATCAAAGCACATTAATAGAAAGTTATGTGGAAGGGAAAAGTGTGGAAGAAAAAGGTGCACAAGCAGCAGGGATGACCGCAGCCTGGAGAGGGTTGTCAGGAAAAGGCCATTCAAAAGTGTTGGGGACTTTCACAAGGAGTGGACTGAGGCTGGAGTCAGTGCATCAAGAGCCACCACACACAGACGGATCCTGGACATGGGCTTCAAATGTCGTATTCCTCTTGTCAAGCCACTCCTGAACAACAAACAACGTCAGAAGCGTCTTACCTGGGCTAAAGAAAAACAGACCTGGTCTGTTGCTCAGTGGTCCAAAGTCCTCTTTTCTGATGAGAGCAAATTTTGCATCTCATTTGGAAACCAATGACCCAGAGTATGGAGGAAGAATGGAGAGGCGCACACTAATGTCAAAAATTGAGTCTTTGTTTTTTTTCAATTAAAGGATTTTATCTAAAAGTCTGGACTTTTTACTAACTATTTGATTTAACACTTTAGTGAATGGGTAGAGGTACAAGTACCTCTTACTCCGATGCAAATAAGCCCCCTTGCCCGCAGACCCCCACAACCACCGGGTCAGGGTTGTGAGGAAGAGGCCCTTGTCCCCATCGGCATGGGGACACCCTCCCAATGCCAAGGGCACGTGGCCTGGTAAGGCGCCCGGAGGGGGGGCGCTCGATCGTCCCCCCCCCCTTTCCTGCCCTGCCGGGCGAGGGCTCGGATCAAGGGTCTGGTAGGACTGTTAGGGGGGACCCCACGTTTTTTCCCCCATTTTTGGGGGCTGGGGTTCCCCCTTAAAATTCCTACCAGACCTAAAGGGTCTAGTAGGGATTTTAGGGGGAACCCCCACGCACTTTTTTTTTGTTTGGGGGAGGGGAGGGTCCCTCCTAACATTCCTACCCGACCTAAAGGGTCTGGTATGAATTGGGGGGGAACCTCACGCTTTTTTTTTTTCATCTTCTGCAGACTGTAAAAAAAAATAAAAAAAACATTTTTTTTTCTAATGTCACTTTGCTGCTAATGAAATTTTGTCCAATAAACAAAATTTCGACCGGACTACCGCTAACGAATTTCGGGAAAATCTGGAATTCGGATTCGTTTGCATTCGTTTTAGCTGTAATTCAGAATTCGGATGCATCCGAATCTCCGAATTTCCGAAAATTCGTCCGAATTTCGATTCGGAACGAAACGAATCGCACATGTCTATTAAGTATGTTACACTAATGTTAGTCTTATTTGACAAACAGAAATATCATTTGAATGTGTCCCTTGCAGGACAATTATCATGTTTTAGAAACCACTGCTTTACATCACGGTCAATGATCAATGTGAATGGCAGTTTACTACACCTTAGAAGTACTCTGCATAGTATTTTACTGTTGTACCCTATAGAGCCATAAGTATAAAGTCATCTGTTTTAAGATATTGCTTGCTGTGCCAACAGTTGTATTGTGATCTTATCTGTTACTCCGAGGTCAGACTATTTGATGTTATATTCTGACCCACCCAATGTCTTTTTACTTTCCTCTGCCAATACAAAGGACATATTGATGTCTTGTGATCTTTTCCATTCATCATGCACGTTAGAAACTGCTGCCTTCAAAAAGGTACAACGCTGTTGGCAATGCACAGACCTGTCCTCCTGCCACTGGTAATGGTTTTACTAACTAAAAGGTATAGAAAAAACATTTCTGTTGCATGTGTCTGCTTCCATATAAAAACTGCAGAAGGTGCTCCTACTCAAGATACTTTTTCAGGGGAAGTTAGTGTATTTGTTATTAAAGGACCTCTGAACCCCAAAACAAACATGCATTAGTTTTCCTTAGGAGGACAGCACTCATTCACCCATCTCTATCAGGGTACCAGAAACAAGACAGACCCACAGACTCCTATTGTTCACAACAAAGAGGAGCATGGTGCTGTAGTCCATAGAGATAGCTGGGAATAATGCCAACTGATAACAAGCAGAGTGCACAGAAAGTTATCAGCGCACAAGATTTCTGATGGGATCAACAGGGATTTTGCAAACAGATACAACATAATTATTTCAATTGTATTTTTAAAAGACCAAAATGGACCAAAAAAAGAGAAGTTCATTGTTAGGGTTTAGATATCCTTTAAGCAAAGGTGTAAGAAGATGCGAATTACACACCAGGGACTCATTTGTTATTGGTATTTGCCCTTCCAGCTCTGCTAGTTATAAACACCACAGACAGACCATCAGTACTGATTTATTGTTTGAGAGATATGAAATGTACGTCAGTGTATTTTGCATTGCATGGAGATTTTATCCTTGATTACAGGAAATGTTTACTGAAAATAATATGGTCAATAGTACCATTTCTGACTGCCTCCTGAAGGCACCAGATTTCTGGCTTCATTTCTTGGAGACACTGACCCAGAACAAGTATGTGGAATGGAAGAGTGAAGACAGAGTTTCCAGTATGCATACATGTGTCTGGTCACTGACTCCATGTACTAAAGCCATTGAATCAGCAGGATGCCCAGGAATTAGTATTTTCACCAAGGAAGGCTAACAATGGCAGCCTTCACACATCATCGGTACAGGTTTCCTTTAAGATTTAAGACTGTATTGAATGAATCTAGGGGGAAGGTATTTTTTTTATTTTAGACTTGGGAATAGTAAATACTTCTGTTATGGCAGTCTGTGTCGCCAATGGAGAGGTTTTCTATCCCTTTCTGAAATCTCTGCAATGTTGAAACCCAAAGACACAACAATAAAACCCCATATAAGTTAATCCTTCCTCAATTTGGTCAAACTGAAATGTATTATTATTATTCTCCACTACATGTGTGGGTAACTGGTTCCACAGGTCTACTAGACTTTATCTACATCACCTAGCTTCAGGTATGCCTGTCTACTGCAGCAAAACTCCCACATATACACCGCTCCACCACAACAACCATTCATGATGGTGGAAGGAACATAGGGCACCCACCTCATCCTCCCACCTTCTATAAGCACAACGTCTGGGAGGAAGATTTAGCCGCACACTGATGAGGTCACTTGCTTAAAAATAAAAAATAAACTATTCAGGCTCTATGTGTGCCCTGGGCAGGACTAAGTGTCACATGTACAACCTGAATAAGGTTTATTTTAACGTAAGCAATGTCATTGGCGTGCGGCTGAATTTGCTTCCTGTCTATTTATTCTTTTTGCCCCTGGAAAATATGATCCTATTAAAAGTAATGTTCTATAGGAAAAGTACCAATAACTTAAGTTGTTGCTTTTTTAATCTCATTGTTCATACAGATAAATGACCCCAGGCTACTCTATGTCTGCCTATTAGAAACAGGACCAGACAGTATACGAGTAAAGCTCACCCGATTTATATCTTATTCCCAAGTGTCGACAGTATTACCAAACACTAGTCAACCCAAGCCACCTTAATGTAGCCACTTAAAGAAGCTATGCAAAATCTGTACCTGGAAATGTTGCCACTTACTTAAAAGGTGGAAAATAAAAGACAGCTGCAGAGTTTGTTGTTAGGTGGGATATATAAACTCTATAAATTATTTCAACGCAGCTCCTTCTCCTTCTAAGACTAGTTGGAGGTTTTTCATCACAGGTAAAGTGATATCCCTGTACATTACGAAGAAGCTAGAGAAGTCTGAAAATTTAAATAGGGCTTCCACTAAATATGTAACTGCTGAATGACGTTTATTATTGTTGTAAGCTTCTTCTTAATGGTGTATTTTCAGAAATCGTATAACGGCACCCAACAGACCTTGTAAGGCAGTCTGGAATGAAGACATGTTTCAATGTACCGAAAGATCTGCTCAAAGGCCACAGTAATGAGCAGCCATCAAATTCTTCAATTAAGTTTTTAAAAGAAATGACCAAATTCATGATTCACAGTGACCACTTACCATACATTGCCATCAATTCCCTGGATCCGTTTAGTATTTTTGTGCACTGAAGACATAATCTGAAAGTGAAAAATTAGACAGAAAATATTACTGGGCTTAACATATTCATGACAATTCTTCTTATTGCTGCAACTTTGGAAAATACTTCAGACAAGCAGAGCAACTTGTACAGTACAAGGCAGGAATTGTTTTACAGTATCTGACAGGCTAAGCAATCATTTAAAAGAGCATGGAGCTTTACAAACACAAACTAGCAACCAAGCATTTTGATGGCCAAATCTGACATATACTAGTGTTCGAGTTCCCTTTTTGAAATGAAAAAAGAAATAAATGAACAAAAAAAAACATGAGTTTATACATAAATAAACGCCAGAGGATGCTGCAACGGCAATTTCCACTTATTTGCTTAGGCTGTAAAAGCCATGGACCATATTATAGCTGTGTCCTACATTTTGTTAAGACAAGATGACATTTTTAAGGATTTGCAACGCGTTTTAAATCTGAGCATGTTTTTTTTTTAAATCTTTAACGCAGTTTTGGCTACGGTGAGCACATATTTGTGTATATTTAGATTAAAATAAACAACACATAATAGTAAAATCAGTTCTTTCCCTACAGCATTGCTGCCAATGTTTGGATGAGGCTCTTCCAATTATTATAAATAGGGCATGACGAACTCTAAAAACAACAACAAAAATATCTGCAAGCAACGATAAACAATGTTAAATGTTCACGTGCTCATTGAGGATGCAAGTGTACTTCCAAAAATAACCTTCCATTATATTCCAGCAACAACGTCATGCCAGAATCAATTAAGCATCAAGTATATCGGAATGTACGAGACAATACGTACTCCTGCAGTGGAAAACCTGAGGAAGCGAGAGGAATGAACTGTCTTCAGCAATTGAGCGCCATTCCCAAGGCGGCAGACAGAACGAAATGCAATCAACATGCCTACAGAACAGGTCAATAAAAGAGGCACACAATTAGAAAAATGGTGTAATTAAGGTGCGGCCATATCAACAGTGACACGATATAAGGCTGGAAAAATTACTGTACGATTAGAAGCCAAATAAAATGATCGCTGTACCTGTAAAACACACCAGTTCTGTTAATATACACTCACCGGCCACTTTGTTAGGTACACCTTGCTAGTACCGGGTTGGAGCCCCTTTTGCATTCAGAACTCCCTTAATTAGAGCTGCAGCTAACGATTATTTTCAAAATCGATTAGTTAGCCGATTATTAAGTTCGATTAATCGGTTAATCGGATAAAAAATAAAATAAATTTTAAAAAATGGCTCCGGTGATGGGACTTCTAGTTTGTATTGAGATTTTTTCAACTTTTTCAATAATCAATTATAATCGATTATGTCGATTAGTTGTTGCAGCCCTACCCTTAATCCTTCGTGGCATAGATTCCAACAAGGTGTTGGAAATATTCCTCTGAAATTTTGGTCTATATTGACATGATAGCATCACGGGTCCAAAGTGTGCCAAGAAAATTTCCCCCACACCATTACAACCAGCCTCCATCCATGCTTTCATGTTGTTTACGCCAAATTCTGACCCTAGCAGCTGAAATCGAGACTCATCAGACCAGGCAACATTTTTCCAGTCTTCTATTGTCCAATTTTGGTGAGCCCGTGCGATTTGTAGCCTCCTTATCTTCTTCTTAGCTGACAGGAGTGGCACCCGGGTCTGGTCTTCTGCTGGCTGCTGTAGACCATCTAATTCAAGGTTCGACGTGTTGTGCGTTCAGAGATGGTATTCTGCATACCTTGGTTGTAACGAGTGGTTATTTGAGTTACTGTTGCCTTTCTATCATGTCGAACCAGTCTGCCCATGCTCCTCTGACCTCAACAAGGCATTTTCGTCCATAAAACTGCGCTCACTGGATATTTTCTTTTTTTCGGACCATTTTCTATAAACCCGAGAGATGGTTGTGCGTGAAAATCCCAGTAGATCAGCAGTTTTTTTTAAATACTCAGACCAGCTCGTCTGGCACCAACAACCATGCCATGTTTAAAAGTCACTTAAATCCCCTTTCTTCCCCATTTTGATGTTCAGTTTGAACTTCAGCAAGTCGTCTTCACCACGTCTAGGTGCCTAAATGTACTGAGTTGCTGCCATGTGATTGGCTGATTAGCAATTTGTGTTACCAAGCAATTGAACAGGTCTACCTAATAAAGTGGCCGGTGAGTGTATATGGGAACACCAAGCAACTTAGCAAACATGAATTCTTCTCCCTCCCTTCACTTGTGCTTTGAAAGTTGTAATTACAGCCTTAGACCACTGTTGCATATGCATTCAACTTGTCAGTAGTCTGCATTGTACACAGTGGAAAGCAACAAGACTGCAGGTCATGACTAAGAACTCATGTAATCACAAACTGTTAACTCTCCATGCCATAAGCTAAGCTCTGCTCATTACCCAATCCATGTGACTGTCACAGACTCACCCGGCGCACCCCCCGTTCCAGCGGCGCGCCGTCTCCTTGGTGACGTCACGCCGGGCTCCTCCCACTGACCGCGACTCCTCCTCAAATTCACAGGTGAGTCACTCACTCGGCGTTCTATTGTTGTGGAACGTCGAGCAAGGACCCTGTGCACCTCACTGACCTCAAACAGCCTGTCTAAGGATCTCCTGACCGCACACTGACATCCAGGGACACGGCAGCATTGGTTACCGCTGAAGCTGGCTCAAACCCTCTCCCACCTACTGGAGCTAGCCCCGCTAGAGAACCAACACCAGAACCACAAGTACACTGGCGAATCTTCCTCATACCTTAGTTGCTACTTCAGCTAAATTGAGTGGAAATCTCTATTTCAAAGGGAACTGTACCTGCTACTATAATTATCCGCTGTTGTCACTACTGTAGAGGAGACTGTAGAGGAGACTGTAACTAGTATCAAGCTCATATCAGAACCGCAAGTACACTGGGGTCTCTCCTCCATACCTTAGTTGCTCCTTTAGCTAAATTGTGTGGAAACTCTCTCTGTTGTGTGGGAAACTTTTCATGCAGGCTACAAATATAAGTTACTGTCACTGTGGCATAAGAGACTGTATCTAGTATCTAAATCACATTCACCTGCATACTGCAATCGCATTGTAATTGCCTGTCCTGACACATAGGTTAAGGGAATCCTTACTTTCCTGACCTCTAACATTAGTGTCTATGATACAGGGAGTTCTGGGAGCACTAGTGACTGCCTCTGCTGTAGTGAACCTATACGGAAAACTACAAATCCCATCACACTGTCACATTCTAAAAATACTGCCATCCTACCTAGCAACCGCCCAGATATACACAAATTAGGCCGGGGTATATGATGTGTACCACTTCCCTACTGCACTGAGGGAACCGTCCACTGATCCACCCCTTTAAAAGATTAACTGGACCCAGTTCCGCAACTGCGATCCAGAACACATTACTTCTTGAAGGTCCCTGACAGTGACTCCAGAAAGCAGTCTGCACATCTAGATGAATGTCAGATGCCTAATATCAGGAGAACAAGCTCTCTACCCTTGCCTTGCTGTTCCTACCCACCTAGCTTTGTCTTCAGATTCTCTAGTAGCCGACCCCTCACCTAGAAAACAATTCTTCAAATTGCTGCCTGCCCTGTCCTAAAAATGTTTCTGGATTATGCTTTGTCTGCTGCCTGCCCAGACCACCCCCAGCCTCTGGACTTTTTTTTTAACCCATCAGCAGTACTTTAGCCCACGCCTGATATTCCTGAAGACTACAGGTACTTTTTTCTTTTACTTTCACTCACTCCCTTTTGCCACTAAGCCAGAAACTACACTAAGCCAGAAACTACAAACTGTGTACCAAGACCTGAGGACAACCAAGTACCAGTAGGCCCGCTTGCCTTAAGGGAATAGGAACTGCTCTAGGTGAAGAAACACTGGACAGCTATGGTTTATGACATCTGGATGCGTCAGGGCAAGCAATATACCTTCCTTTTTCTTTGTCCAGTTCTGCAGTTATGTTGCTTTCTACAGTGTACAGTGCAGGCTACAGACAGGTTTTGTAAACAAAGCAAAACATGTAAACAAAGCAATATATACAATAGCCTGCTATTACAGTGCTACAAAACACAGGGAAAGAAAAGGCCGAGGTAATATTTTTCAAAATTTCTTGCAGTACCTGCATATGTTAAAATAGCGAATTGGGGGAATTTATCAAAACTGGAGCAGGCAAAAATCGGGAGCGGTTGCCCATGGCAACCAATCAGCTTCTCTCTTTAGTTTGTACTGGTAAGGTTTGAAAATGAAAGTGAGAAGCTGATTGGTTGCCATGCACAGCTGCTCCACATTTTGTCTGCTCCAGTTTTGATAAATTCCTGCCACTGTGTTTTGATATACACATCTATTTATCCCTGAAGGAACCGCCTGCCAACATTAGGCACTAACTGCTATTTGTAGGCACATTGGCTACTCTCTTCTTCTTCGTTTGCAATTTGTCCAGCCTTGAAATAATGTACATTTCAAACTGAGGCAACAACTCATTTTTTAACTATGCTGGATAACAATTAAAATTGATTTTTCTATAGAACCAACATATTATGTAAATTAACTACTAAAAGCGGATCAACAGATTGGAAAACATGCAAAAGTAACATTGCAATAAAGCCCAAAGTCCATTCCAGAAAGAAGCAAGGACTGAGAGAGGCATGTCTATAGAGCAATTTGGCAGCAGTCACAATAAAGCATCCTGAAGAAGAAGCCGACAGTATATGAAAGGGTTGCTGCAAATCTTGGAAACAAACTGACCCTATAGTATACTTAGTCAATCAGATTTGGGAAAATTAGGCAGTGGTTGAACCCACTGGAAATAGGAAATCTCAGATTTATAAATACCAATAAAGAGATGGGATTAAAAAGGAGCATACATCAATCAGCCACATAAGGTAAGTGTCCTACATAGAACCCAAGTCATAAAATCACCAAGGCACTCCACAAGTATAATAAACATAAAAATGTATTAGAAATATTTCACTTTCCTTTGCAAGCTGGAAATCAGACATTATTTTTAAAAACTGTCTTTAAAAAATTCAGTTTTTTGCAACCGTGATAGCAGTACATTGTTATTATTCAGAACTTTCCAGAATTACCATCCCACTCTTCAGTAAACTGTTTGCTTTCACATTTTTACTTATTAAAAACCTAAGTGCAGAAGGCAAATACTGGTACAAGTGTCTCCAGAAGAAATACATTATTGTAAGGTCATCTTGTCCAGAACAGTAGGAATAGCGTTCATGTTTCAGCCTAAAAAGCTAGGACTAAGGCCACTTTAGGCTAAAACGCATAAGCATTTCTCTTATTTGGACAAGGCGACATTTCAATAACTTGCTGCTAGAGGAGACACTTGTCTCCTTTTTGCCATCATTGGAGTCCTGAGAAGGATGGACAATATAATCAGTGAACAATGATGGATGAGTGCAAGGGCGACATATGAAATGGAGAAGTGTATCTATGATTTAGTGACAAACCAACCCCAAGGGGGTTATTTTGGCCCAGCCAACGCACCAAAATGCCCATACCATGCATTGTGGAAAAAAATAAAACGCGTCCGATTTTAACAGAATTGTGATGTGTTGGAGTTCATTTTAAAAAGGCACACCAACACTCATACATTGCCAAGGCAAACGCACATGCTACGCAGCACCGGCAAATAAATAAAGCCGCTGCATTTTTGGATGCACATGGAGCATATTCGAAATGAATCAGAATGTTTAATGCAACATGCAAAAATGTGCACACGTGTGAATGGACTCTTGGTTTTTAACCGCAGGCGATGCCCAACATTCATATACAAGTCAAACTCAATACAGTGTAATTACCGAGAGAAGAATTCTAGAATGTATTCACCCTCAAGGTGACACTAGATGGTGAAGAGTGATTATTTGTTCCTGGTAATATGATGTCAGTGAATGTTGTGGATTTATAAA